CAACCGTCTCGTAATTATAACGGCCGCAGCATCCCTGGTGTGTGCGTGCGTGCCTGTCAGGCGATTCCCCTTTTGCGACGGACTGCGATTCGCTTCACAGGCTTAAAAAAAAACCGTGCCGCGACTCGCTTAGCAACGGAGGGCACGGAAGGCAACGGGGGACAAAACTCGCCCAGCAACCTTTAGCGGTGGAAATTTGGGGCTCCGTTGGCGGTCGGAAGCCGGGGCAATTATCTGTCAATCTCCCCGCAAATCAGGCAGTGGCTACTTGGGAGTGGAAGGGTTGGAGGTGCTAATCTAGCCACTTAAGAGGCTGGATCTTGCAGGGGGGGATCGAGTACCTGTTTTGGTGGGGCTGGAGAATCCGAAGCCTTGGGATGCCACACTTCCTCCGCCGGAGCTGAAGGTGCCCATCGGCTTCTGCTCATCAAAGGAAGCGGTGCCAAATCCAAAACTTTTGGCCCCGCTGTTTCCAAAAAGGTTCGATGTGTCTGCGATGGGGGAAGGGAGGGAAAAATTAAAAATCTCCTCCTCCTGTTTTCTCCCTTCTTTTCCCCCTTGGACAGCATAAAGCTACAGGCAGTCCTCGACTTACGACAGTTCACTTAGTGACAACGGCGGTTAGGAGCGCGTCGATGGCGCAGCCGCAGAAAGCGCGCTCCGCGGAAGCAGTGTAAACAGCACAGCGGTCCTCGAGTTAACGGCCAAATAAAATGGGAGCACCCCCCCCCCCATGTGTGTGTAGCTAAGCCGGGCAGTTGTTAAAAGCAAGTTTTGCCCTGTTTTACGACCTTTCTTGCCACCGTTGCTAAGGGAATCATTGCCATTGTTAAGTTGGCGACATGGTTGTTAAGTGAAGCGGGCTTTAAACCCCTGCAACCCTCATTGACTTGGCTTGCCAGAAGGTCACAAAAAAGGGGACCCCCTCCTCTCTCTCACACACACACACACACACACACACCCAGGGGACATTGCGACCGTCGTAAATACGAGCCGGAGGCCAAGAGTCCGAAGGTCTGTGACCACGTGACCCTGAGGATAATGCAACGGTCGCTAAGTGTGAAAAAGGTCGCTGTTGTAACCGTGAAACGGTCACTCAAGGAACGGGCGTTAAGTCCAGGACTACCGATGCAAATTTGTGCCCCGTGGAACTGCAGCCTGCAAGGAGGCCGCTATCCAACGGGAAAGCTGCAGTGGGCTGAGCCCCTCGGTTCCACTTACTTTGATTGGCCGAGGAGCCGAAGCCGCCGCTGGTACAGCCAAAGGGGTTCTTGTTGGCCGCCTCGTGACTCGGTTTCCCCCCCAGGCCGCTGAAGAAGCCCCCCGCTCTCCCGCCGCCACCGGATCCAAAGGGACCCCCGCTGGAAGAGGAGGGCTGCAAAAGACGAAAAGGAAGAAATGTTAGGCCGGGTCTGCCCGATTCAAACAAAGCCTTTAGAACAGGATAACGGCATTGGAAGGGACCCTGGAGGTCTTCTAGTCCAACCCCCAAGTCTTTTGGGGACCCTTGTTCTGGAGACTAGCTGTCCCACCGATTGATTGTCCTTACTATTAGGAAATTTCTCCTTCATTTTAGGTCGCTTCTCTCCTTGGTTAGTTTCCATCTGTTGCTTCTTATCCCTGCTTTTAGGTGCTTTGGAGAATAAGTCAATAATCCCTTCTTTCTTCTCCGTGACAGTCCCTCAAATCTTAGAGTATTGCTATCCTGTCTCCCCTAGTCCTTCTCTTCATTAAACTAGACATACCCAGTTCCTGCAAACATTCTTTCTATGTTTTAGCCTCCAGTCCCTTGATCACTTCTGTTGCTCGTCTCTGCGCTCTTTTTCCACACACACACACAGTTTTTGTACTGTGGTGAACAGAACAGGAGACGTTATTCCGAGAGTGGTCTCACCAAGGGAGTATAAAGTGGTACTAACAACGTTGTGTGATCTTGGTTCTATCCTTGTTTATTCAGCCTGGGACCTGTATTGGCTTTTTTTTTTTGGGCTGCTTGCAGCACCCGGCTGGCTCATGCTTAAACGGTCGATGATTACAAACGGTAAGCAACCTTACAGTAGATTTTCTCCTGATCAGACCCAGTGCAATTTTGGGAGAGGAAAATGGCTGGCTTGGAAGGATTTACCTGGCCGAAGAGGCTCCCACTGGTGTTGGTGGCTTGGCCAAACACGGTACTTGGGCTGCTGGAGCCAAAGGCTGAAAGAATCAAGAGAAAACGAACAAAGGTGAAACGGCTTGTGAAAACCGCACGCTGGCATTTCTAGCCACGCAAATAAAGAGCCGTTCATTTAGCGACCGTTCAAAAATGCAAACGGTGAAGGCGCTAGAGGTGAGGACTGGTTGTAAATAGTTTTTTTCTTTCTTTTCCCAGCACCGTCATGTGATACGTGGCCCACCAACACATCAACCCACGTTCTACGTAATGTGGACAATGAATGTTATGGTTAATTGGTGAATGCCTTATGAGGTCTGAGTTCAGCATAGAAGGGAAGAGGAGAGGAATGGGGGGGGGAAAGGAGGAAGGGAAAAGAAGGGGAAGGGAAAGAGGAAGAGAAGGGGAAGGAACGGAAGAAGGAAAGGGAAGGAGGAAGAAAAAGGGGAAGGGGAGGAGAAAGGAAGGTGTAAGGGAAGGGAAGGAGGAAGGGGAAGAGGAAGAGAAGAAGGAGGTAGGAAGGAAAAGGGAAGGGAAGGGGAGGGAAGGGAAGGAAGGAAGGAAGGGGAAGGGAATGGAAAGAAAAGAGGGAGGGCAGGGGAAGGGGAAGAGGAAGGGAAGGAGGTAGGAAGGAAAAGGGAAGGGAAG